CCCCAAAACCCCAAAACCCCAATATCTAAAGAATTTTCAAATTTTTCAAATTTAGTAAATCAATAAATTAAAGCAGAGTTTTTTTTTCCCAGTAAAAGTTGATTTTGCGTAAATAATATTGATCAAGTACTAAGAATCTTTCTAATACTTATCACATTAATACAGCAAATTCTTCTGGAAGTAATCAGTTGGTTTGATCAGCATAATACTGAGCGCAATCCACGCACAAATCAAATTACTCATCAAACCTTGACAAGGATTTTCTGTGATAAAATGTCATATAGGGATCCTTTAAATCAAGAGTACTATCTGTTTGGCAAGATCTGAAATACCTAGCTTTGCATTCCCATCCTCCTTGATATTTTTCATGAATATCTCCATAGGATGTCTTCACCATTTCATGCTTGTGAGAGTTTTTGTAGAAACTAAAGCACTTCTCACAGAAGTCAAAGTTACAAATATTGCAATGGTACAAATTCTCATCCATCTCTATTCTGAGTTTAGCTGCTCTTGTTTATCCACTTTTGCAGCCAGTAAACTTTTTAGCTCTACAGAACCAGCTTTCGTACATTTAGAATTAATTCCACTCTTAAACCTCCCTCAGCATCACTAATGTTAGAGGTTATGGATAAATTTTAACTTGTATAGTTTGCTCTTTATATTAAGTCTTAATGAATTGATATCTTAGCTCTCCAACATTCTTAAGAATATTATTGAGGGTTGTATCCTATACTTTTTATCGAGCTTGCAACTCTGAAACAGCTCCTGAGATATTCTTCTCCATTATATCCTTTGTTGTTACTAGTTAGTTTTTCATCGAATCAAGCTGCTACTCAATAGTATTAATAGCTTCATCATGATTTTCATTTAGAGTAACCTTAATCATTAACTTATTCATGTCTACATAACTTTCCCTTAGTTCCATAGGTACTAAGTAACTATTCTCAAGGATAAGCTCTGCCATTTCTTTATACTAGGCTCCTAGCTAGTTTTAAATTACTTTTTCATGGGAGCCTGATATGATAGCAATCAACAAATTTAGCATTACAATCATCCCGATTATTGTGCACATTACCCATAAAAGCCAAACCAGTTCAACTGCGATGGTGCCAAATTTGTCTGTCTCAAAGCCACCAAGAGTCATCGAATAAGCATAGAGAAATGCATGAGCAAAAGATGAGATGAACTAGTCATCCTTCTCATTTCCAGAAGAGATCCTCAAAAAGGCATCACCAAAAGCAGCTACAGTTACTGCGTAGACAAACAAGAAAATTCCCATATCTGTTATAACCTCATATACCATCCTAATGAGGTAATTTGTCTTTTCGAAGATCCTCAAATTAGAAATAAATTTGATCCACATTAACAAGGTAGATATAGCTAATAGATATCTGTTAGCGGCGTTTGATATGTGCATATCTTCTTTATCAACTATCGAAAAACCTTAGACTATTAAGACGCTTATAGGAGCAAGTATATCTACGTAGTTCCAAAATGTATCAAAATACCTTACCATCCCAATGTTGATGCACTATCTTATTTCACTGCAAAGGAAATAGAATGAAAAGCCGATTAAAATTATTCCAAAGGTTATATTTGCTATTTAGTAACCTTCACTTTCATTTCTCGTTTCATAAATAGCATTCATATAAATTACGGACAAAAGATGATAAACTGCAAAGGGAATCACAGAATGTGTCATAAGAGCGTGTTTAACATATGGGAAATTGAAATCGACAATCTGCATTATAGCTCTGTTAGTGAAAAATCCATATCCCTCAACATCTTAAAGGCTTCTGAAGAACTCAGAGAAGTGCTTATCTCTAAAATGATAAATTCCTGGCATATCCAATAGCTCTAATTTAATCGATACTTTTTTCTCATCTTCGTTATTTGTTCCTTATATTTCCTCAATAACTTAGTTGTTTAGTTGTGGTGATGAGACTATATTATCACTATTCATTACCCCTGTTTTAATGGCTTCTAATTGCAGAGTCGATTTAAATCTTGATTCAAAGTAGTCTAAGGCTATTTATGTTCCTGTTGAAATAATCTTAGGGTAAAGATGCTTGATACATCTTGAATGATGGTCGATCTCATAAAATTTCAAATATTTTAGCACTGAGAATAGCTGCTTTTAATCAACATCTTTTGGCAGGTTATTTTGTAAAACTCTAGTGAACGGATCTTCTCCATCAATATTTGGCAGGAAAGGGACATGATAAAGTATTCCATTATCATTGTGGCATCTATCAAAAGCGTCTAGCAATTTCTCAGTCTGATTCTTTAAGGCATGCAAAATATTGCCCTCTGGGAGCATACTAAATAGAACGATCTCAAAGACAAGAATAGGGATGTTTTTTACAGGGTAAATTCCTTTAACGAGTCTATCAGTGAGCGTCCAGTGTAAAAACGAAAAGGACTGTATAGTTTGAGCACTAAATTCAGTCGAATGAATTCTGAATAGGAGGTTGAATTTATCTTTTTTTTCTGGAAAAGCATTCAGATAGTAATTCTATTTGTAGAGTTAGTAGCATTCTCGAAGTTTAGTAAGGATATCTCCATCTACTCCATATTTTAATGACTTGAAAGGTATTTCAGCATCAATAAGATATTTACTCATCTAGGTAACCTCTTTAATTGGAATGACATTATAGCCTTCTTCAAGTATTTGATTGTTTTCCCCTAACTTATAAGTCTTTTATATCCCATCGTCACTGACCACTAAAAACCTCGTTGAATCTATCCAATGAAATCTATTAACTGCTTATCTCAAAGTTTATTTTGGCCTCATAGAAACTGCTCCCTTTCCAAGTGAACCGACTAATTCTTATGAGACCATAGTTTTAATTTAATATAATCCAGAAGTATTATAGATAAGGTAATATTTAAAATCAGGGCTTAAATAGTTAAAATGTGGCTATTCCGAAACTAATTAAGCAGCTTGCTTTTCAAAATAAAATGGAAAATCAGAAACATTAAACTTGTGCTACCATTTAATAAAGCCATTTTATTCTTGCACTTTGGCATAAAGAGATACCCTAATCCAATCGGTAATAACTATCATCAGTGTAATATCTGAATTAATAAGCATTACTTAATTTTCAGAATAAGGAAAGTCGAATTATTTTGTTGAAATATCTATTGAATCTTCCACTTTTTTTACCTCAACAATTTTCCATTTTCTTTTTTAGGGTTATAGTTACTTAGATATGGTAATCTAATCCTTTAGCCAAGTTTTTTATTTTGGAACATAATTAGCATCATAACTTTTTTCTGATGTTATAGTTTAATTTCTACTGACCAATAATAGAAATTCCGAATGATTCTTCTCAAATACCAGCTCCTCGTTTCTATTAAATACATCTTTCTCCACTATAATCTTGTCGACAATTTTTCCAGTCATTACGTTCCATACAATAAGCAAATTTCTCTCAGTAAGTCTCATATACAACTAGCCAATTTATTTTGAAAGTAAACTTTTACCATAGCTTTCAACTCCCATCAACTTTATATTATTTAAATGAAGGTAAGGGTGCACCACGTAACAACTTATTGACTGCATGAATCCTATTCTTTCGACATTTTTAAAGAGCTTGAGATGTGGGTTATGTCCTACATCAATCTATTTAAGCAGTAAAAATTAGACATCTCTTCTATCTACTATAAATGGAACATTAAACATAAATAGTCCATGCTCTGTAGAATCTTAGCTCTCTTATCTCAATAGGTAGCTGAAGTCCTTTCCAATAAAATCTCCATTAACTATTTGTCTAGATGTTGCCTTCAGTATATTGCCTTGATTATCCAAGAGAACCACAAATTACTTACTCACAAGGATAATGTGATGATTTAGGTCTAACGTTAAGGCAGAATGAAATAATAACTGCCCTTCTAAGGTGTCATAAAGGTCTTTTTATTTTTCCAATTTTATTTTTCTTCGAACTTTTTCCTGATCATTTTAATAACCAAAAGATGGTGCAAGTTCTTTAATTTCGTAGAGTACAATCTTCTACTCATTGGTAATTAAGAGCTTGATTTTGTCGGATTAATCAACCAATTGATTTATGTAATTCATCTTAAGTATACACTTTTCTCCTGTGTCTATGTCGTCAAACAAAAGCCCTTCATTTATACAGACAATCTTATTGGAAGAGTATATGAAGAAATAGGTACCTTATCCTTTCTCAGAGCCGATATCAAGGAATTCGAACTTTTAAGAATCAATTCCAAAATGTTAACTCAAGCTGAATGAAGGTTTCTCTTGAATTATATTATCTCTTTACGATCCAATATAGCTCATTATATCAATGTGAACATCTAAGTTTTTGAGAATTAAACATATCATCTTGCTTTGATTTTGTTTTTAATTATTAGAATATTCTTGTTCAAAAATAGCCAATATTTCATCCTCAAATTTAATGCGTTAAGTAAACTCTCCTCTCATTATATCAAAAGCAGAAATCGTATCAAAGTGTGCAACAAGGCACAATGGATTTTCATCATAATCAACAAGATAAAAGCCTTTATAGATAGAAACATAATCATGCAATATTTTACCATAAATATTAGACATCCTAAAACTTCTATCATCTATTAATTTTTGAGATAAAAAGGAGATGTTCACTTGAGCTTGATGTTTTAACTCATAGTATGAATTCTCTCCTTCTTTAGTTTAGCATCTTATATAAAAAGCTTTGAGGCTCATTCCTATTTCCTTAAAATTTTTATCCTTCGCATCCATTCTCTCCCTTAGTACCATGTCTGAATATAAATCTAATGAATACTCGCTAAGAGCAATAGCATAAACTATGTCATTCACAACAGTGACCTTCAAATTGTATGATTTTGATCTATATAAGCAGCTTTACTCAAGTTCAGGAGAATGATCAGAGAGCTGAAGAAAATTTTCTATAACACCTTTCATTTCAATTGGATTTTGATTAAGTTTGAGTGAATTGAAGTCTAGAGAATTGTTTGACTATCTTATTACTATTATGAAATCAATTAGTGTTTTATTTTTAGTTTATTGATTATATAAGCTTTCTTTCTTGGTGATTGTAATAATACTTTGAATATCAATCTTTTAGTCGTGTTTGTAAGTATTGTCATCTTTAAGTTCAATATATCTCAGAGACTCTAGATTTTCTGGTAATTAAGAGATATAAAGATCTTGATCAATGTTAAAAACTAAAAATTTTCCATCTGTGTTGAGGTTTTCAACTAAAATGCTTATTAATACTTATTAACTTACTGGTTTTAAAGTTAAGTATATTACTAATGATCTTTAGCTCTTTAATTTCAACATTGTCAGTGATATAGATCAGGTTGATTGAGTTATCTTCCTCCTGATCAATGACATAAAAGAAGTAATTGAAACTTATCGCACATTTCGTTGGCATGAAATCTATCTCTTTCACAAAAATCATCTCATAGGTCTAAGTATCCCAAAATTGCAACTGGTAAGTGTATTATTCCGTTTAGTTTCGGTCTTTTCCTTTACTTACGTGAAACAGAGCCGGTAAGTATCGCATTTAGGTGCTGTAGTAGCAAGTAGAGATAGGATTATATAACTCTAAAAAATATGTTACAATCAGTTTTAAGTTTGGAAAAATGGAGGTTACTTTATAAGTCTATTCTGTATGACACATCGTCAAAGTATTGCTGAATGTCTTTGCAAAATGCATGCGGATCTAAGGGTCTCATTCTGTCAAGACTATTCTGTTTAAGCTCATTAAGATAAGTTTTCATTCTTGATGATTGCTGCTCATCATTTAAAGTTTATTCTAGAAGTGGACTTTTACTCATTATCACAAAAATAAAAATAAATTATAAATATATATATATTAGTAAAAGATATGCAATATATAATGAAAAAAGTGAAGAATTATTTTCTGATAAGAATTTTATCCTGAACAGTTTATAATAAGCTTCACTTTTAATAAAATCTCTGATCTTTGTGACACTGTTTATAGAATATTTGATGGGGTTTTGGGGTTTTGGGG